CCCCTTCCCCCCCCTTCCATTGTTTCAAGGTATATTCTCTTTGAAACATCTGCTGATAGATCGCTCTCTACTTAGTTACCCTATGCTTGCTGGCAATGTCGCAGCTTTGCTGAGCCCCATCATCTTCAGCCCCGTTCTCACTTTCATCTTCGGACAGCAGAACTACGACTATGAGAGCATGCGCGCCATCCGCAAGGTGGACGACACGGACGTTGCAGCCGCCGCTCACGTTGACATCGAACTCATCCCCGGGGAGACAGACGACCCAAGTGACCAGTCGGAAGAGGAGACCCGCAAGCTGAACAAGGCGGCATTCTACTCCCGCACGTTGACCGTCATCATGACGGTGTGCCTGTTGATCCTCTGGCCGATTCCGATGTACGGCTCCTCGTACGTGTTCAGCAAGAAATTCTTCACTGGCTGGGTCGTGGTCGGTATGCTCTGGCTGTTCGGCACTGCCTTTGGTGTGGTCGTCTTCCCGCTCTACGAGGGCCGTCACAGTATCGTCCGCGTCGTCCGCATGATGGCTCTGGATGCCATGGGCAAGAAGCCCGCGCTGCAGGGCCACAAGGCCCCGCGCGAAGAAGGGCAGTCGGGCATCGCCACCCCGACGGAAAAGATGAAGGAAGCCCAGGCCAAAGATGTGACACAGGCTTGAAATTGGCTAACCCGTGTATTTCTTTTCCATGCTTTATTTGTTGACGTTGACTCTTATACCCCCTCTCGTTTATCGCTCACATCAGATCTTACTATCTTAATGAATGGAAGCTAGTGTTTTAAAGAATTTGAATCGTATTCTGCATCCTAGTACCGAAACACATGACTTATCGTAGCAAAGCATCATTATCATTTATAGGAATAGCCTCCTTGGCCCTCTTGTGGAGGTGCAGGAGGTTGGTATCCACCATGAGCCTGGGGCGGTGGCTGGGGAGCAATTCCAGATACATATCCCGGGGGTGGCCTCGTACTTGGTGTGATATCAGGGCGATCTCTGCGAATAGCTTAGTCTTTGAAGCGCTTCGTTCCAAGCCCGATTACAAAAGGCTCGTCTACATACCTCAGGTCCTGAGTGAACCGGCAGGTCTGGCATGTGACTTCCTGTAAAGGTTTTTCAGCGGAGAGTTATAGTTGGGTCTGTTTATAAAAAAAATAAAGATACTTACTCGGTATTTGTGGATCGACAATGGGAGCACAGGCTAGAAAATGGAGTCAGATACCACGCCACTCGATGGAGAGACACGAATAACATACAACAAAGCAAACAGTAAACCAGGGCCTATACGGGATGGTCCATTAGTTTTGCTGATATCTGAAACTTTGGGAGATGGGGCCTACCATCTGCTAACGCAAATGCCGTTCCAGTGTTGGCCTGGGAAAGGGTCCGAGTAAGCTGCTTGTTCTTGTGAGGCATGAAAAGAGGCGACATACAGTTATAGCAATATGCTCTGACGTCTCGATACTCCTCGAGCATCGAGGTAAATTCTATTCAGAATGTTAGATGGGGTGGTTGGCAAGTATGATTGAATATAAACTGGGCAGGTTGCAGCGCCCTGTAGAAGCTAAGCTTACCCTGCGTTCCGAACGTAAGACAGATTGCCATGGCTTGATTTATGGATCCAGGTGCAAAATCGATTGTGTTCTGATGAAAACAACAAAGGTAGATAGCTGCAAGTTCTCGAGTTGACCAGCTTGGGAGTTGAAACTTGAATGAAGCTGATCTCGGCCACAAGAACGTGACGCGTGTGGCGTTGTGGCTAGAGCGCATTAAGCACCTGATCGCCCTGATTTCAATCCATGGCACGGCTGCAGTGGAGATCAGCATGGATAAACAATCATAATACTCTCAGGGAGAGCTCATCTGATGTTCTTTTTATAATGAATCGAATCATCAGAGACGATTCAAATCATAGATGACTACTAATAATACGACTACCGGCACGACGTCATCCGAGTCAAAGAAATATATAGAGCCGTTACTCTGTACACAGCTGTTTACTCGAAAATAAAGATGCATAATGCCATCAACAAGAAGTTGGATTTTCGGTATACTACCCGCAAAAAAGCATATCGATTGCTATCGACAATCAATCAAGATATTGAATGAGGTAAATGAAGAAAAAAAGTCAAAGAAGGATATAAGAGCAGAATCGAAGGGCTGGGTGTGATCTGCGGGCAAGAGCCCAGTTCAACACCATCCTTTCTCCATAGTCCCGAAAAGAATATCTCAATACCATCGCTAACTCCCCGTTTTCAAGGTTCCTTCAACGAAGATAAAGCTCGATCATGGTCCCATGTCTGACGTGTACAGATCACTGGCACGAAAAAGGAGTGTAAACTTTTTCGCAATCAATAGAGGCGGGGGCGGAAATCATTGGGTCTTGAAAAGGAGAATAGCGCAGTGTCCAAGGTAGAAGTAAATGAAGTGTTTCGTCTCTGTACCAGTATTAGGTTCAATGCATAGCCTGACTCTACAGCATCTGGTTATAGCTCACCGTGTGTGACAAAGCTACCGAAGTTCCTACCAACCACACAGTGCCATGTTGCGCCCTTTCGCGAATCAAACTGTCCGACGTGTCAGTTTAGAGGAGATTAGTGTTAGGGAAAGACTCGCGGACCTCTTTCTTGATGTACTGAGCGATATCCTGCAACGCATCAGTCATCATAAAAAACATGAGATAATTATTTTCATAGTGAGCCCCAGGCCTTGTACCAACCTTCTCAATGTGAAACTTATCCATCGCCTCGATCGCTGCGAAATTAGCAATTGCCCCCCCTCCCCGCATGATCGAACAGAATATGTCAGGACTCCGTACCAACTTCCACGGCCTCTTGCTGCATGTCCTCGGTCTATATCACTGTAAGCGTCAGGAAACAGAATAGCGGCAATTGGCGAGCATACCATATCAACGGACTTTATTTGCGCTGAGAGGGAACAATTAGCCGCGAAATGAGTCGAGTCGTCCGGAATCCGGGCGCCTACCTTCCAGCTTCTCTCTCTTTTCGGTCGCCATCTTGAGTGTCGGTCAGTTGTTGAAGCGGGTATCGAAGTCAAAAGGGAGTCGGTGCCAGCCACAGCTTTGGCGAATCAACAGCTTGTTCTTAAAGGAAATAGCGAGACCGCTCTTGCAAGTGCAAAGCGATGGCGCGTGCGAATGTCGAGCATCATCATTGAGGCACGGGCCACGCCCCAAGGCCCTCGCTCACCGCCCTCGGCATTATAAACCAGCAGAAAAAAACATCCGCAAAAAAAAAGTTTTCTTCCCTCATGCTTCACCTGGGCGTTGCCAGGTAGAAACCAGCAATATGGAGAACACCAGAGTTTTTGTCTCTGGCCTGCCGCCTACTTTCTCCAATGAACAGCTCAGAAAGCATTTCGCCAGTCGTTACCAGGTGACAGATGCCCATGTCCTGTCAAAGCGCAGAATTGGGTTCGTCGGCTTCAAGAGCCCAGAGGTAGCCCAGCAAGCTGCGAACTACTTCAATCGGACTTATGTCAAGATGTCTAAGATCTCAGTAGAGATTGCTCGACCAGTATGTGACTGATTATCGCCGTTGCTTTTTGCTTGTGATCTTTTTTTTTCTTTTTTCTTTTTGTTGTTCGCGCTGACCAGTGAAGGTGGTCTTGGGACTGACCAGTATTTTACTAGGTTGACTCAACCCCTGTTGGTGGCTCCGATGATAAGAATACATCTCAAGGCAATAGTCTGAAGCGGAAACGCGATGGAAAGAATGCCGAGGCGGACCCCAAGTTGCAGGAATATCTTTCTGTTATGCAACACTCGTCGAAGACGAAGACCTGGGCAAACGAAGAACAACTTCCCAGGGCTCTTCCCCAGAAAGACTCAGCTGTAGGTGCTGAGCCTATGGAGGTCGACTCAACACCCGCTGTCTCGAATGACACACAGCGGAAGAAAGCTAAGGTAGAAGTACCCGATGCTTCTCAAAGATCCTCCACTGTCCCCGCTCGGGAGCCTCGGCACGAGGAATCGAAGACTGAAAATGTCGATCGTGTTGAAGTGGTGGATCAATCCGACGATGTCATGGTGCAGGATGAGTCTGCCGCCGCCAAGGCATCAGAAGAACCGATCACGGATTCTGACTGGCTCCGGTCGAAAACAAGTCGCCTTCTTGGTCTTTTGGACGATGAGGAGCAGGCGGAATTCGGCTCAGCGGCCCAGAACCAGGTCTCTGCTCCTGCTGAAGTCAGACCGGAGACACAGTCAGATGACGAACCTCTCGCAGAGCAAAAGAAGGACACCATGGTCGACGACGAGGCAAAGTCACAACCGGTGGTCGATACAAACGTTGAGAATATCCTCATTTCAGCTCGTCTTTTTGTGAGAAACTTGTCCTACGATGCTTCGGAGGCTGATCTACTCCCCGTTTTTGAGCCTTTTGGGAAGATCGAAGAGGTTAGTCGCATCCCATTTATTTATTCCCCTCCTCTATCTACCCTAAACTCCAGTTTATGGAGTGCACGCTACTGTGATGATCTTCCTGATAGGGACATCTGATGCAAAAGCACATGATGTGAACAGGTCAAGAGATTTTAGTAGATGCTTCTTGAATATCTGATGAAGCGTGTTTCAATCCTCTTTGAATTCAATAGTAACAACTTTTTACCGTGGCTCAGTTGCTAATGACTTCTTTCAGATCCACGTTGCTTTTGATACCCGGTCAACGACAAGTAAAGGGTTTGCCTATATCCAATACGTCGAGCCGGAGTCCGCTGTCAACGCTTACAAAAGCTTGGACGGAAAGAACTTCCAAGGTCGCCTCTTGCATGTTCTTCCGGCTGCTGCGAAGAAGTCATATAAGATCGATGAGCACCAGCTGGCACAACTTCCTCTTAAAAAGCAAAAGCAAATCAAACGGAAGATGGAGGCTACATCGTCGACGTTCAATTGGAACGCTTTATACATGAACACCGACGCAGTGATGTCTTCAGTAGCGGAAAGGCTTGGTGTCTCAAAGGCCGATTTGCTGGACCCTACTTCATCAGACGCTGCCGTGAAGCAGGCTCATGCGGAAACGCACGTAATCCAGGAGACCAAGGCCTATTTCGTGTCAAATGGTGTTAACATCGATGCTTTTAAGCAAAGAGAACGGGGCAACACCGCAATCTTGGTCAAAAACTTCTCCTACGGAGTTAAAAGCACCGACCTGAGGAATCTCTTTGAGCCTTACGGCCAGATTAGTCGACTTCTCATGCCTCCGAGCGGTACGATAGCGATCGTGGAATTCAGTAGACCCGACGAGGCTCAACAAGCATTTAGAGGTCTTGCGTACCGAAAATTGGGAGACTCCATCCTCTTTTTGGAGAAAGCCCCGAAGGATCTATTTGATGCCAACCTATCGACTCAGCAACCTGTGCCAGAGGTGAAGGCCATCTCGCAAGGCTTCTCCACTGCTGATACGTTCACTGCGGGTGAGGCTGATGGGGGAGTTTTGACATCAACTCTCTTCGTAAAGAACTTAGACTTTTCAACAACTAACGAGAAATTCGTCGACACATTCCGGCCGCTGGACGGCTTCGTGTCTGCTAAAGTCAAGACCAAGCCAGATCCCAAGCGGCCTGGTCAGACGCTTAGCATGGGCTTTGGGTTTGTGGATTTCCGAACGAAAGCTCAAGCTCAGGCTGCCCAAGCAGCGATGGATGGCTATAGACTTGACGGTCACGCGCTTGTCATCAAAACTTCCCACAAAGGCTTGGATGCAGCGGAAGAACGAAGGCGTGAGGACAACGCGAAGAAGCTCGCTGCCCGCAGGACGAAGATCATCATCAAGAACTTACCGTTCCAGGCTACGAAAAAGGATGTCAGGTCTCTTTTCGGTGCATATGGGCAGCTCCGCTCTGTGCGAGTTCCGAAGAAATTCGACCATTCTGCTCGTGGTTTTGCCTTTGCTGATTTTATCAGCGCTCGCGAGGCTGAAAATGCTATGGACGCGCTGAAGAACACGCATCTCCTGGGTAGAAGATTAGTCTTGGAATTCGTGAACGAGGAGGATGTCGATCCTGAAAGCGAGATCGCGAAGATCGAGAAGAAGGTAGGGGAACAGATGGACAGGGTCAAGCTTCAGAAGCTCACCGGAGGGGGACGCAAAAAATTCACTGTAGGGGCCCAGGACGATGGGGAGGCCTAAGGGCACTTCTCCCTGTGGATAGGGACAGCAATGAAGGTGGTCGTGAACGCGCCGGCCTGTTATCATCCCTTGCTTGGCTAATGGGGCAGCAGACGCCCATGTACTGCCCCGGCCCAACACGTTCATGTCGCCTGTCAGTACCTACTTTATGCACCCTGCAATGCGCTGCACGGCAAAATCTATCGTGCATCTTCCAAGGAATCAATCTCCTGGACTGCGCTACTGCTATCCAGTTCAAGTCCTGTCCAACTCCTCTATTGTAGACCCCTTCAACCTTGATTGACAACAATAGACAAGGTCCTTATGTGACGCCTACATTCCAAATGCTCTCTCTCTTGATTAGTTATGCATTCCTCGTTCGACGAACAACCGCTGTCGTTGGATCTTCTGACATTCTTGTTGATTCTGATTGTCACGGTTCACCCACCATCAACCTCTGTACCTGGTCGAGCCTTGACCTACTGGCAATGGGTTTCTGTTGCATAAAATCTCCGAACTGCTCGTTACTGGATCGTGCTGCTGGGCATCCCTTGCATCCCACTTGAGCTCGTTCACGGCGAACCTTTCCTGTGCTCCTCATTTGCTGCGGCAAGGATAGCCACTGTCTTCCTGTCCTCTTGACTGCATGTCCTTGGACGCGCGAAGCCCATGGGAGGTCCCCGCCTAGATCTGTGGATGTTGCTGTCGAGGGAGCCGCCAAACAAGCAGACTGATATCCCAATGTAGCCTGGGGTTACGGTTCGCCCCCCCTCTCCAGGGAGAGAAATGCTTCTCTATAAACATCATGCTCTCGCTCCCACATTCTCTTTCCCAGGCTCTTACATTCTCTTCCAGCACTTGCGTTCTTGAACAGTCTTTCGTGACGGTGCTATTGCGTTACTTTGCCAGGCAGTTTGCATAGCGGTCCAGTCCTCAGCTCTTTCTCTGTGGAATCCATCATTCTTCCGAGAATCTATCACAGGTCTGCCCGCTCAATGGCGACTGACTGGCAAGCTGGGTGTGTCATACGCCAGCCAAGTCTGGAGAGTATTGGGACTCACCATTCGGACCGGGCTCTACAGAACACCTCTGGCAATGCTCAGGCTTATTCTGATGGTTTGGCACATATCAATGACGCCGTTGGCCGCGGAGAGCACTTCCATCAGCTGGCGTTGAAGTATCCCAACCCTCCTCACCACCATCCTCCTCCCCCGGTGGGCGTCCATACCCTTCACCACCAGCAGGCCCTGGCAGCTCGACTTCACGCAAAGAAGCTTCGAAGGCTGCAACCTGTTGGCCCGAACCTGGTTATAAGCCGTCGAACCAAGAGCTACCTAAAGTCTCAGAAGTATCTCGAATATAGAGCAAGACCTAGACGTGATACTGGTAAAGATGGAGAACCGGTGTGGTCAGATGAACTTGAAGATGCTTTCCAACAGGGTAAGCTTGCACATCTCTGACCTTGCAACGCTGATGATCCTGTGCTTATATCTATCTCTCTTAGCCCTCGAATCCAACCCACCCATGGGCCGCCGAAAGTGGTCCGAACGAGGGAAGTCCTACGGCCGTAACGAATTGATCGCCGAGTATATCTACCGGTTGACTGGAAAGAGACGGACGAGAAAGCAGGTTTCCAGCCATCTTCAGGTCCTGGATTCTATTCTCAAAGGCGATCCAGACTGTAAGTAGCCACCAGATTGCCAGTGGGCTTAACCAGAGGAGCCTGCTTGATTAACCTCCATTTATTTTACAGGGGAAAGACTTGTACGAGAACAACCTACAGACCGATCAAACAGCCAGTCCCAGACAAGCGGCCCCAAATGGAGAACTTCGGCGGAGCCAGTCGCCTCCAGTCATTACAGCGGTCATGCCCAGCCTGCGTATCGTGACCAGACAAGACCTTCCCAACCCTATTCCGGGGAACTGCCCCCTGCACACATGACATTAGGCTCCAATATGCGTGGGCCTAGTGTGAGCTCGAATATCCAAGCGTTCAATTTTGACATGTGGGTGAACGTCCCGCAGCAGCAGGCAAATCGCATCGACAAGGCATTCCACGTCTACACACGCCTCCAGGGAGATCAGCATCATCCAGTGGCACCCCCGAAGCCGCTTGAAAATCTCATTGATTGGCGAACCGACTTCCCACACCTTGCGTCGCTAGTCGAGGACATCAATGGCCCTCTAGACTGCGATATCATTCTGCTCGAGGCCAACCTTGAGTTAATGGCCGACTTCCCTCCCGCCGGTTCTAGGCTCGGCATTCAGCTGGACCTTGACTTCGGGCATCCCACTGCGGGTGACATCCTCATGGTGAGCCAGATGGAAAACTGGACTTGCAGTACCCACATCTACGAAGATGGCCAGGAGATTCTCGAAACCTACCACGATCTCCAGAAGACATCATCGACCAAAGTCAAACCTCTCTTCGAATCTTCGTGGTGGGCAAAGGTCTTCACACAGCTTACCCAAGAAATACGCATGGCCGAAGACTCAGGCCAACCCGAAGCTGTCCACGCCGCAGGCGAACACACGAGGCAGTTCTTCCGTTCTCTTACGGCTGTCCAAGAGTTACGGGCTACCCTTCCAGACCCCCGACGAGGCTCAACGCCATACGCTAGTGGACACGGAGATCAAAGCAAGCGGATGGCCATCCTTCTGTGGAAATTCCGGCAGACTCGAGAAAACGAAGTCGGCACCACGACCTGGCGGAGACTCATTCCGCCCCCGGACCGGACCACTACGAACAGCCCAAGACCCTCTATGGGAATCGACCTCCCTCCCCTCTCTCTTGATTCATTACTCTCCACCAAGCAACCACCTCCACCACTCTACCAGGCTCCGGTGCAGCATCATGATCTGTTGCCACACACGGGAGCGTCCCAACCACACTGGCCGTTGTACCAGCATCCCCATGACAACGTAACCCATCTCCTCAACTCCACGGGTCCGTTCGACTTTCTGAACTCGATCAGTCGGGCAGAAGATTCCTTGGCGGACAAAACGGCGGTCGCCTCGGTCCTGGATTCTTTCCCCAATTTGAACCAAGAGACCACTCAATCTAGCAGCAGTATCAGCGTGCCCAGCAGTGCACCGATGATACTCAACGTACATGACCTGGGCTTGTCGCAGCCAAACCTTGGGTACTCTTTGAGTCATGATGGACATTACGTCCCATCCCAGCACCATGGGGTCAGTCTCCACGACAGCACCAACGTACTGAACCTTCACTCTATCTTCGGTCCCGACGCGCCTTCCATTGATGACATCAGCGACACTCACGCGCCTCTCTGGGCTGCTGCTCATACAGCTTCTATCCACAACGACACCGTCGCCAGTCACTATAACTCCCTCCCCTATACAACCCCCGACCACCAGGTTCCGGTTTCCCGGGAAGCGCATTCGGCCCACCCGCTCGAAACCTTCATGCCCCCGGACGTTGACGTGATCGAAAAGATTGTGGGAAGTATGCCTGGAGATCATGGCATCCATACACCTGCACCCAACCATGCCACCTCCAACTACACGGAACCTCCTGCAGTTGAGCCGGTATAAAGTCGAGAAAAAAAAAAAGCGTTGCCATTCCCCCTTATTTTCTTTTTGTCACGATCACTAATGTCTAAACATATTGTCTCCATGTATTACTACTCTTACTATTATTTATTCCCTTGTTCTTATTGTTTAACAAGCGTCGGGTAATATCCCGTGAATGCGCATACAGCGATTCTTCCCCCCCTTCTTTTATTCTACTTCGTTATATTATTTTGAATAATCCATCCCGCCGTATTTATTCGAGTCTCGCAAATAGTAAATCTTAAACAGTCCCTTGATAGTAGGAATAAGGTATTACTGACCCCTCCCAATTTAACCGGAGGCTCGGCTTAATGCGTTGTGTACTTGGTATTTACCCGGCGGGCAGCACCTTCCCTGAACTGCCATCGCGGGGAAACTGCGGGAGAATCCAGTCCTTTTAGCCATGAAGGAAGAAGTCGAGGATTGCACCGGGCAGTGGCGGGGAAACTCGCTCGTTATTTGTGGCCAGATTTTTCTTTAGGGACTGTGTTCCTTTTCTTTTGCTTCTTCGCTACTACTCTCTCTCTCTCTCTCTCTCTCTCTCTGTTGTCTCGAAAGATTCCTAGATCGTGCCTTCACCATGTCTACTCCTAGCATCAAGCTCAGCAGCGGCTACGAGATGCCCCTCGTGGGATTTGGCCTCTGGAAGGTCAACAACGATACTTGTGCCGACCAAGTCTACAACGCGATCAAGACTGGCTACCGCTGCTTTGACGGTGCTTGCGGTATGTAATCCGACGGTCTCCTCCCTGGAAAGCGTGGCGAGCTGGGTATATATCTAACGTGTGTCGAATAGATTATGGTAATGAGGTTGAGGCTGGCCAAGGTGTTGCCCGGGCCATCCAGGAAGGTATCGTGAAGCGGGAGGACCTGTTCATCGTTTCCAAGCTGTGGAACAGCTTCCATGACGGTGACCGGGTGGAGCCTATTGCTCGTAAACAGCTGGCAGACTGGGGTATCGATTACTTTGACCTGTACATCGTGCACTTCCCCATTGCGCTGAAATACGTGGATCCCTCGGTGCGCTATCCCCCGAGCTGGACCTCGGAGGACGACAAGCTCGAGCTCAGCAATGCCAGCATCCAGGAAACCTGGACGGCCATGGAGACCCTGGTCGACAAGAAGCTTGCCCGCAGCATTGGCGTCAGCAACTTCAGCGCCCAGTTGGTCATGGACTTGCTCCGCTATGCTCGCATCCGCCCTGCCACCCTGCAGATCGAGCACCACCCTTACCTGACCCAGACTCGCCTGGTTGAGTACGCGCAGAAGGAAGGCATTGCGGTGACCGCCTACTCCTCCTTCGGTCCCCTCAGCTTCCTGGAGTTGGACCTGAAGGATGCCCACAGCACCCCTCTCCTGTTCGAACACCCCGTCATCACCGAGATTGCCACCAAGCATGACCGCACTCCCGCTCAGGTCCTGCTCCGTTGGTCCACTCAGCGCAACATCGCTGTTATCCCCAAGAGCAACAACCCCACCCGTCTTGCTCAGAACTTGGATGTCACTAGCTTCGACCTTGAGGCTGGCGAGATTGAGGCCATCGCCGCTCTTGACAAGAACTTGCGGTTTAACGACCCCATCGCCGTATGTTCCTTATCTCTGTCCCCCGCGTGCTGTTTTGGAAACTGACTTATTGTGTAGTACGGCCTCTACGTCCCCATTTTCTAAGCTTCTACATGATTGGTTCATATGTCCATATCCATGAAGATTTTGATGTTATGAAAGTTGCGATTTCTAGTATATAGTTACGCCCTTTGAGCAATGAATATAATCCTGTCAAATAACTGCTTTTCCCCTTGGAAAGTAACAATCTCGTAATATACTGTCATTACTATGTAGTGAACTGATAGCATATTATGAGCGCTGCGCGCCAAGATCGACTTGCCGCAATCCTCGAACCTTTTCTCCCGTCCATCAATTGAGCAGAATGCCAGGGCCTTTCGAATCCTTAATCCATTCCCTTTAAATCTTTTCCCCATGCGTCCTGTGTCCTTCGTAAATCGCCCTCCTTAGACTTGAAAGGACCTGGTCCGCCCTCATTGAAAGGGGGGAGGGACCCTTCTTTTTTCTTTTTCTTATTTTCCAAAGTGTCGCTCCTATAACAGGACCTCACCTCCCTTGTGGCCCCGTCCAGGATGCGCTCCGAGGCCACCAAGACCCTATCCAGGGTCGCAGCCCAGTCTGTTCACGTGGTGACGAACCCTGCGCCGCGGAATCTGGCAGAGAGCAAGCTTGTGCTTGCAGCGTTGCAGAAGTTTGGGGAGGTAGTGACCTTTCGCAACCTGAAGGTAAGAACCACTAGAGTTACAGAGTTACAGAAGTACAGAAGTACTACAAGAATAAAAACTTACGGTTCTGTTTCAAGTATGCGCCCGGGAAAAGACATCGCAACGTCGACCGGTCGACGCTCGCCATCTTCGAGTCCGCCGACTCGGCCTCCCGCGCGATCGAAGCATCACCGCTCGTGATCCCTCTAGACAATAAACTTAACCCGCGAATGAAACCACACACACAGACACAGACACAGACACAGACACAGACACAGACATCTTCTGCCCGTCTGACATGCGATGTATATCGGTCCACGTTCGACCACGAGGACAACATGCCCCGGAACCCATACCATAGCAGCTACCGCGTCTTGGAGAACAGCTACCAGTACAACGATCTCATGCAGAACACGAACATCCCCCTGCGCGAACTGGCGGATAGCATGATGGGGCGCAAGACCAGGATGCGGATCCGATATCGTCAACGGATCGCGGCGGAGAATGAGCGGTTGGGCGCCAATTCGCTGGTCAAGTTTTATCGCGAGGGGTTGGAAGATGCTGATGGGAATCTGGATTCCGGCTCTAATTAAAAGTAGTCTGCACATATCCTGGCTATATGAGGTATCTATGCTTATCTATCGGTGCAGGTGTCATCGGTATGTACTAGAAACTACATCTACATGGCTATGAATGAGATGGTTCGTGTATCATTGCGTGTTCCTGTGTATATTATCAAACTCGTACATACGCTAGCAAAGGTCAGCATGGTTACGATTAAGAGTAGCATGGGTACGGTGAAACGTACTGGCATCAATCTTCATGATATGCGGAATCGCAAGCCGCACTTTATTGCGATACAGGGCCGGCGCCTTCATCTGCAACGGGTTCCCCTCGAAATAGACCGTCTCGAGATGTTCCTTATCGCGGAGTTCGCGCTCCACCTCGTCAAAGTTGGCGAGCTGGTTGTTCGACGCCCAGAGTTCTTCGAGTTTGGCTAGATGCGAGATATGCTCCAGTTTCGAGACCTGGTTGTTCGAGAAATCAAGCACACGCAGCGCCGTGTTCGCCTCTAGTCCCGTCAGCTCGGTGATGGCGTTGTGCGAGATGTACAGCTCTTCTAGGTTCGGAAGGTCGGACAGGCCCGTGATGCTCGTCAGCCGGTTGGATTGGATGGAGATGATGCGGAGGTTCTGGAGGGAGGAGAGGTTCTAACCATTTAGTTTATGTTTGGCAAGATTGTCAAGAGGTTAGTCACAGTGTAGTTCATACCTTCATTTCTGTAATCTTGTTCTTGCCCAGCCATAACTCTTCTAGAGCAGATAACGTCTCGAGGTTTTCAATCTCCTACCACTGAGTTAGATTCTGTGAATTCATCTGAATGTAGAAAATGGGAGAGGGGGGGGGGGGGGGGCTACCCTAATCCGATTCGCACCCAGTTCCAAATTCCTCAAAACAGATAACCCCTCCAGACCCTCGATCTTGGATATCTTATTCTGCACAAAGTACAGGTCCGTCAGTTTGACGAGGTGCGCGATGTTCTTGATATGTTTGATCTTGTTGAAGCTGAGGTCCAGACTGGTCAACTCGCGGAACTCGTCGAGTCCCTTCACGTGTGAAATCAGATTGTCGTAGAGATCGAGTTCGCTCAGAGAGGCGGCGACAGAGGGGGGGAAATCGATGCGACTGATTTGGTTTTGTCGTAGGCAGAGTTTCTACACACTCATTAGCAAAGCCACTGATCGGATATTTTGTCTTTGTTGTTTGGTGTTACCTTTAGCTTCGTGAATCTCTCCAGTTTCAACGCAGCGATCGAAGTAATCCGACAGTGCACGAGATCGATATCCTAACCATATCAGCTGAATGCAACGAGAAAATCCACGAGAATATATACTTCAACATCCCGGTCCTCATCTTCAAGAAGATCTAAAGACAGAAGAAAGATCAGAAGGAAACTTTAGCAGCGAATCCAAGTCCAAGATTTCATACCCTCATCCGCTTCGATCTCCTCCACTGGTGGCGCCTCGGGATCGGAATAATCTGGATCTTCTAAGGCTTCTGGGTTCGTGATCACCGCCGTGGGCTCGTATCGTTGTTTGCCATCCCATCCCTTGCTGTCCTTCATCGTCGCAGATGCGTCGTGGTTGTCGTTCGGCGAGTCGGAGCTCATCAGGTGCGGGGGAAGCTCTTACAGCTACCTTTAATACAGATCGGTATTTTGTCTTTTGAATAAAGGCAAAGATAAACACTGAGAATTAAAGCCTAGGTTATAGTTTTAAAAGCAACCCTGCTGAGAGTATGAAAGAATCAAAGGTCTAGTGAAGATACAGGCTTGGCGTATTTTTATCCGCATTAGATCACCTGCAGCAATCTGGAGCTGGGCCATGTGCTAAATGTATCACCCCACCTAAACTGGTCTCACATACCTAGATATTATCGATCTTATATTTTTATTATATGAATTTGCGAGAGTGCACATAGAAATTTTAATTATGCTTTGAAGACACTGAATTCTTATACTTAAATGGCACGCGGTGCTATATACAGCTCTGTGCGTCGCTCCCTCAGTTGAGATACATATACACTGTAGGGGGGCAGACGTCAGTAGCGTTTGAAGCTATAAATAGATACCATGGGCGGTAGCTGGGAAACCGTCTTCATCTGCGTACTGAAACAATGGTAGATGTCGCTCGCTTGGAAGCCTCGGGGAAAGGGGGGGGGGAAGGGGTGCGAAAGATGTCGTGGGCTCGGGAATTCAATAACGAATGGAAAGAAAAAATTGCCAGGGTGGTTGAATGCTGGAGAGAGGCTGGAAGACAAATATAAAAGCAGGAAAAGGAAAGAAAATAAAATAAAACAGGGGTAGTATTGTGTCATGCCTCGTCGGCAAAAAAAGGGTGAAAAAGACAAGGTGGGAAGGAAAAGTTGGATTCATGAGACCAACAGATTTTGGCTGATGACCAAGACCGACGCCTGCAGAATGCAATATGAGAGAGAAGAACTCAGGAAAAGAAGAAATAAGGGGGGGAGACTGGGAGGAATAAAATGAGGAGACAGACATAGGAAATATCAGAAGCAGGGATGAGAGAGAAAGGGAAAAAGAGAAGATAATAAGGAAAAAGAAAACAAGAATCCAGAGAATGAAAACTCAGCTCACTGGGAGCAGTAGGGCTGGATATCCTGCCGCAAAGCAACCGATGCACTGCAAGGGAATATCAAATCTCATCGATGTAGGGGGAATTATAACAAAAAGGGGGAAAATAGAAATGAAAAAAAATAAACATGACGACAGATACAATATTCCATTTCGGTGGATTTTCTTGCTGACCATCCAATCGATTCTCTTGAACCGACCTGTTTGACGGCTGGACGAAAGCATAGCAGAATAGGCGCGGGGGGGAATCTTGCTGATTAAAAAAAAAAAAAAAAAGGCATGGTTGAGTAGAGCGCAGAGGATAGCAGGTGGGACCAGGATAGTGCTTTTGCTTTTTGTTGTATGAATTCAATAGACAAGCTCGAACCGCGAACGTAGGCATAGAAAAATTGGATCACGTTCATAACGGGTATTTCGAGGGACGTGGGCGCTACAAGCCAATATCCAACACGAGGCTGACATCTTGGACATGAGCGCCGGCAAGGTCTTCGAGAACAGGGATCAGATCAAGAAGCTCGTTGTCATGAGCGTCAGAGAACCAGCTGCTAATTGGTATCGCGTGTTGAGGGTGGAATATGTATGAGGTCGGGGAATTGTCGATAATGATTGTCTCTCGAAGATCGCGACCGACTTGAGAGAGGTCCTAGCAGAAACAGTCAGAGAAGTAAGTCTGAATGACTGATTAAATCAACATACCTTGACGTAATTTCCCTGATGATTGTAGCAACTGTCTCTGAATAAACGATGGTGAACAACGTGATGGATATCTAATTGGTCCAGTAATGGATCCCCGTACTTTTTATAACATGAGCGACTCTATGGACACACACACACACAGAGAGAGAGAGAGAGAGAGAGAGGGAGAGGGAGAGAGAACTCACTTTAGAGACAGATGCAGTGAAGACGACGACCTCGTACAGTTCGCCCACTCGTTTCATGAACTGGTCAACTCCCGGGCGCTTGATCACGTAGATGTTATGATATTGGCCCTCGATCTCAACAGGAATCGTGAAATCCGCACGGTCCAGCACCTGTGGGTAGTATTAGCGTTGAGAGTCATCGATGAGAGGAAAAAAAAATAAGAAAGGAGGGTTGAGAAATTGACCTTGAAACTACTATGAACCAACGTCTCGTCTAGATCAAGAACCAGACATTTGCGACCCAGGAGAGGAACTTCCTGGGGAGGCAGTAGCCACTGCTTTTGCCCATCTGTCGGCCCAAGAGGCGGCGGAGGAAGGGTTGGCATTGTAACAGCAAGTTCTTCATGCGAGGAATATTGCCCATCGTCGCCAGTGCTTTCTCTATCGGAATCCTGATGGGCCCCGATGGAGTTATCTTCCGGGACAATCTCGTCTTCCACAACGGCAGGGTGAGAATCCGGTTGCTTGTCCAGCGGTTTAGCATAATCCTCGGTCTGAATAGCCTCGTCAGCGGAACCGACAGCGGCAACGGTAGCAGCAGCAGCAGCGACATCAGGCGGCGGCGTCGTGGTCGTTGTTGCTGCTGTTGTTGTCTGAGTTGTGGTAACAACATCCACCTTTGCCTGATCTTCTTCAAAGTCTTGAGTCTGCGTCGGCTCCGGGGGAGATGGGCCCGTGCTGGAGACGGCACCATCAAGCTGAGCAGCGGCGCCCGGTGAGATGACGGTGTGATCGACTTCGATGCCGGCAGACGGTTGGTTCGAAAAGACTGTCAGACTCTGCTTTTCATCGCTGAACTCCTGATGCTCCCTTGACTCTGCAGTACTTGAGTCACCGGCATTGACGTCGGGCTTTTCAGGGGTTGGCTGTCGGTTCGCGACGATCGGACGTTTGAGGGTCTTCTTGGGAGGCTGAGTAGCGTCTTCGCTATCGATATCGGTCGTGGTGCAGCAGCTCAGGAAGGCGAGAAGCTTGTTCGAGGCTCTTGCCTTCTTCTCCAACCGGGAAGAATTTTGTGTTTCCGACGGAGTCGACACCTTGGGTTCGTCCATGTTGACCATCTCCAGGTTGTCCCGTCGCGACCGTCTGCTACTCCCTCGACTCTTGTCTCTCCGTCTCTTGGAAAGGCTTAACTTGGAGCTGCGTCTTCCCGTCTCATCCTGCGCGTCCTCCGGCACCTTGTTCAGAGTTGACTCGTCCGCTTTCGATGACGCTCGAGACGGAATGGGCAAGAGGGAACGCTGTTTCCTGACAGCGTCGGTCGGTTGGTCCGTGGACGCGGCCCCTGGACCTTCGGGCGTTGTGAGTGAGGAAGCAGCCGGTTGGGATGATTGCCCGGCGGCCGTACTCGGGGAGGCAAGCTCCGATTTGGGGTCTTTTAGAAAAAAAAAGAGAGAGAGTTGATTAGTTAAAAATTCACAACGGATGGACTCTTCTTGGAAGGAAGGAGACAAAAAAGCCTTACTTGACTCGGCAGGCATGGATGCTTCAACGGGAGCGCTCTTTGTCGCCGACGGGGAGGAATCCAGCTCGGAGCTCCCACCAACCATTGAGGGTGATGGAGCGAGGCGAACGGGGTACAGCGGCGACAGTTACAGAACACGAGTCGACGCGACAACGCAAGATTGGAGATCCAAGTTGGTAACCACCAGGGTTTCCGCCAGAGGAGGGAGGGAGGGGGGGGGGGAAGTGGTGAGGGAAGGAGAGGAGGAGGGAGGAGAGGAGGGGGGGGGGGAGGCGGGCCTGAAGGCTGCTTGCTTGCTACACCTCCTGGATCAGTTTAACTGGGAGTGACGGGTTCGTTCCTCTGGCAGTCCCGGGCCACCGCCTTGGATGTGGCTAGTGCACAGCACCGAAAGTTGCCAAAAGCACACACTCACCACCCGTGAATTTTCGTGATGGCACTGCTGGGAGCCGACGGGCAGGAGCAGTGAGAGGGGGGTGAGAGGACAGCCGGGGGAGGGAAGAGGAAATGCGCCAGCAAGAGAGGCGCTGAAGCAAAAGGGCAGGCTGCGGTCGGGGAAACGACGAAAGCGCAGGGGAGTCCGGGAGATGTCACGTGGTCCTGGCAGGGTGTCGCGGCTCGCCGTGTCGGAGTGTCCCCCGGTGGACACTGAACACTGGACACTGGACAATACTCCGTACCTAGACTGGAAAAGGGCTCAGTCGGAGGCAGCGAACGAGCTCGTAAGCTCATCACTAGCCCACTCGGTTTGGCGAACTAGATTAGGCCAGGCGCTGGCGTTCGTAGAGCTGATGGTTAGTCGCTATTGGGGGGGGGAAGGGAGGTGGGAAAGGGCCCTAAGGGTTCTGGTCGAAGCCGATCTGCAGGCGCAATAATAATAATAATAATAACTGAATGGGGGCAGTAAATAATAATTAATCAGCGAGGCACAGTAGTTTACTACTGATATTTAGCTTACAAAATACCAGATAAAAAGTAGAAAGAAAAATGGAGAAGAAAAAAAGAAGTACAAGGAATCCCTCGTCTTTTACTAGTGGCCTAAAAGAATAGAGAGAGGGCTGGTGGTGGTGGTGGTGGTACGGTACCAGGGGGCCAGGCTGGAGAGAGGAGAGTGTCTGGCCAAGGAAAGACAAATAATGTACTACATAGTAGGCACATAGTACCTAGTAGTTAGTTACTATGGGTTCTTTATAACTAATAACTAGTTACTACAGTTACTACAAAATAATTCCAAGGAAAAAAGAGGAGATTCAGATCAGTCAGGACCTAGGTATTTACCAAAAATTGACAGCACAGGCTACCGGTACATCTACTGTGTGGTTATCTACTGTGTGGTTCTAGATCTTATTTCCTCGTAGTCCACGAGGCTTCTTAAGCTTTAGAACGTGTGGTCTTTAGCTTTCTGGTACCTACTGCATACAGGTACCTAGGTACGGAGGGCTGATGTACGGAGGACGAAGTACCTCGGTGATTTGATACCTACCTACTCTGTACCTAGGTATAACTTAGTAGCTGGTAGGTATTTACAATAAAAATACATAATACTTGATCCATCTGAATCACTGTTAAATACCTGCTTGACTTAGTACCTAGTACTAATATTTATTCTCATCAAGCCAATGAATTAGTCGGTGGGGACTCGGAATCTCAACAGTGGACACGGCGCTTATCGTGTGATGGACAGGACATTAACCCGTACCTAGGTAGATGAGACTAGCCTATCGCCAGCATCATCCAACTTTTCCTGGTTACTATCCCAGTGCTGACGAACAGATCAACCAATACCTAACTAATAGGCAGTGAGGCACTAACAGACACGGAGTCTCCGTAATACATACGGAGTAACTACTCGTATATGTTAGTATGTACCTAGGTAGTACTCCACGGTAGCTCCTAGTGTTTATAATTATTAGAAGTTCTAATTTTGGATATTATAAAAAAAGATCAGATAGATATAAATAAAACAGTCTGTATTCCATTAATTCTTCTGGCATTGGCTACTTAGGTACGGAGTAGGTAGGTTAGTACTTAATGCCAGTATTGTACGACTCGTACAGAACGCCAATGCGGGGGAACAGCACCATGTTTGCATTGCGCCCAGGCAGTATTAGGATCTGGGAATTCCAACAATTAGTTATAGAGTACATCTGACATATCTGATGAGTCACCGCGTCTCCTATCACTGTACTACATATGGAGTACTCATGCTCGTCTTCATGCGGATGTCCGAAATATCCCTGTAGTAGGTAGGTTAGGTAGGTACCTAGGTATCTATCTAATGCAATAATCAAGTACGGAGTAAAAGGCATGAATACCAGTTTTCATATATTGAGACACTCTTAGATACCCCATGATTACATGCCTCTTGCATCATCATCCAGGCGTCACTCTTCTATAGTTACATAGTACCTATGGAGTACCACAGAGTACTAAGCAGTAATCAATCACTTACTTCACTCCAATATTTCGAAATTGCGAAATTATAACAAGTCCACATAACTAGTAGAATAGTTACTACCACTTAAGGTATTTAGTTGTGTTGAGCACTGCTATGCCCTGGTGATTAAGCCTATGCACGTGACTGGCACTGGCCGAGGTCTTTCACATGCGACGTTCCTCAAGCTCGAGGGCAACAGTTGCTTCCATCAACAACCTCACTCTGCTCGGCCAGAATCATCAATAATGAACCTATGAACAAACATCAATCATTGCTTATAACCTATATCCATTATATTCCTGCTTCAGAGAGCCCTCGGCTCGTTCGATCCAAGGATGCCAGCTGCCTCCAACGCAGGTCGTCAGCCAGCATATTACCTTACCAAGCCGAGATCATAGCCAGAGGTAAAAAAAGGTAAAAAAAAAAAAAAATGGCTGCTCAATCAACGCTCCGGAACCCTCGGGGCGACCCTCTCGTTGCGTTGTATACGCATTACTCCGATCTGTTTCGTGCCTACGCCAAACGCTCGTCCAGAACAACCAGGCTGCTGGCAACCGTGTCACTGCTCCTGTCGATCATCGCGTCGGGTTATGGGGGATACAACTGGCTACGAGCACAGGCGAAAGAGCGAGCTCAGGCTCGCCGACTGCTGCGTCGAAATTCCGGCATTAGAGGCAAGGATGGTTCGCGTATCATTTACGTCCCCGACAAGGGTTCCACCACGTCCAAGGTCACCATCCACCCGACAAAACCTACCACCTTCGATGCGCACCGGAGGCTGTTTCTGAACCCCCCCGGCTCGACGCGGCTGGGGGACGCCAACGATACCGTCTCGCAAACCCCGCCGTTGTCGACGAAACCAGGCCTGAATCTCGCCTTCCTCCACCAGTTCCTCAGCCTGTTAAGTATCATGGTTCCTCGATGGAACAGCAAGGAGACCGGTTTACTGATGGGTCATGGCGTCTTTCTATTGCTCAGAACCTATCTCTCCCTGGTGGTCGCGCGGTTGGATGGCGAAATTGTGAGAGACCTGGTGGCTGGGAAAGGGCGAGCCTTTATCTGGGGCATTGTCAAATGGTGTGGGATAGGAACCCTCGCCTCGTATACAAATGCGATGATCAAGTTCCTCCAGTCCAAGGTGTCGATTGCCTTCCGCACCCGGCTTACGCGGTACATCCATGATCTCTACCTGACGGGGAACAACAACTATTACAAGCTGCTGAACCTCGATGGGGGGATCGGCCAGGATGCGGATCAGTTCATCACCCAGGATCTCACTCTATTCTGCTCGGCCGCGGCATCCCTGTATTCTTCCCTGGGGAAGCCGATGGTCGACCTGCTGGTCTTCAACTACCAGCTCTATCGCTCCCTCGGCCCGTTGGCCCTGTCGGGGATTCTCACGGGCTACTTCAGTACTGCAGCTGTGTTACGCAGACTGTCGCCTCCCTTTGGCAGACTGAAAGCGGTCGAGGGTAAACGGGAGGGTGATTTCCGAGGGCTACATACCCGATTGCTGGCCAACGCCGAGGAAGTCTCCTTCTACGGCGGCGCCGAGATTGAGAGGGTGTTTTTGGCCAAGAGCTTCAAAGATCTCCAGCGTTGGATGGAGGGAATATATAGTCTCAAGATTCGATACAACATGCTCGAAGACATCATTTTGAAATACTCTTGGTCCGCGTTTGGATACCTCATCACCTCGCTGCCTGTCTTCCTCCCGGCCTGGGGCGGTCTCGGGGGTGTCATGGAGCTGGCCGATGATGCCAGTGCAGAGACCGGTCGTGAGCGAGGGCGCATGAAGGAGTTCATCACGAACAAACGGCTGATGCTCTCTCTGGCGGACGCCGGCGGCCGTATGATGTACAGCATCAAGGACATCTCCGAACTGGCCGGCTACACATCCCGGGTGTACACCCTGATCTCCACCCTCCACCGCGTCCATGCCAACACGTATTATCCGCCCCCCGGCCGACCCACTGAGCTCTATTCTCTCGCAGACGACCAGGGCACCGTCCACAGCGGGTTCGACGGGGTGCGCCTGGAGCAAGTGCCCATTGTGGCGCCGTCGCTCTTCCCGCGCGGCGGCGACGAGCTGCTCGAGTCGCTCTCCTTTGTTGTCCATTCGGGTGACCACCTGCTCATCTCCGGGCCCAACGGGGTCGGCAAGTCGGCGATCGCGCGGATCTTGGCGGGCCTGTGGCCCGTCTACCGCGGGCTAGTGAGCCGGCCGCGCGCCATCGGCCTCGAAGGGATCATGTTCCTACCGCAGCGGCCGTATCTGAGCGTGGGCACGCTGCGCGACCAGGTGATCTACCCTCACACGGAGCTGGACATGCACGAGGCCGGCCGCACCGAAGCCGAGCTGCAGGCCATCCTGCAGGACGTACACCTAGGCTACCTGCCCCAGCGCGAGGGCGGCTGGGACGCCCGCAAGGAGTGGAAGGACGTGCTCAGTGGTGGCGAGAAGCAGCGCATGGCCATGGCGCGCCTCTTCTACCACGAGCCCCGCTACGGCTTCATCGACGAGGGCACCTCGGCCGTCTCCTCCGACGTCGAGGGCCTGCTCTACGAGCGCGCCAAGGAGCGCGGCATCACCCTCATCACCGTCTCCACCCGCGCCTCCCTAAAGAAGTACCATACCTTCAACCTCACCATGGGGCTGGGTGCTGATGGCGCCCAGTGGGAGTTCGACCGCATCGGTACCGACAAGGAGAAGCTAAGTGTCGAGAAGGAACTGCAGGAGCTGCGCAAGCGGCTCGATAATGTCGAAGAGTGGAAGCGACGCCGCGCCGAGATTGACCTCGAGCTGCGCACTGTCTGGACAGAGGGCGGAGAGGAGCTGCCCCCTCCGCCGTATGCCGAGGAGGATTCCTAATCTTTTTTTTTTTTTACCTCCTCTTGCCCCCTTGTATTTCTCTTATTTACACCAGGGCATAGTTATATCATGACTTTCGTAGGTACAATCAATAAGATCGAGTCCTTCCCCTCCCATATCCCCGATTTCATCGTGTACGTATCATTAGCACAACATCTACGCTCATTCCTCGCGAGTCGCTCCCCTCGCTCGAATCTATAGAGAGTGAATAAGCAAACAAGGCATATTCAATATACTTATTCAAGTTGTCTAGTAGTGTCGTTAGTTGGTACTAAGAAAATACCACAGATTCACCCAACCAGACTTGCTCATGGGTAAAAATAGGCGAGTTGAGAGGCTAAGGAGTCTCGGATATCAAATATCAAGATAGACATCTCTCTCTACTATATTAAAGCCATACTTCAGCGATATGATCTTGTAAAGAAGAGGTTGAGGAGCGACGCGTCAAGGCAGATGTCACGTGCTCTATCCGCTGTCCAAGACAAAGTCTCGACGGCGGCATTGTGACGTTCTTCTTGGACCTACTCTGGCGCACAACACGCGAGAGCCATCAGCTTTTTCAGAACAACAGGGGGTTTCTTGATGAAGGTCCCCCATGATGACGGGCTAGTAGACTTGCCTCAACGTTAAGTTCTAATCTGGGGTTTGTTTCGCCCC